AATTTCATAATTTTATCTTTTTCATCCGGTAATACGACTCTACATTTATTTATATTTGTACAATCGTGTCTATGTCTTTCGAAAGAGTTTACTGTTGTAAAGTGACATAGACATCGATCACACAGTCTGGTAAAACCATGATGTTTTGAAATTTGTGAACTCAGTAAACGAGATAGATTTCGAATCCAAGCAAAGTGATAAGCACTACCGTCTTCCATGTCCACGTCATCTCCATTCGAATAAATTTTTGTTTCCAACATGAGTAAATGAATCGCTTCCTTGCTTGACTTTTGCTGACTTAGATAAATTGGTACAATCTCATGACCTCTATCATACTCTATACCGTAAACGTTAATTACCAAATTATTCATCTTCTCGAATTTCGAAATGTCCTTTAAGCCAATGGGAAAATTTAAACCTTCATACCTTAGCACTGAGCTGAAGTGGGGGTACGAACCGATAACGCTTACATTATTTTTAACTGGATGAAGAGCTGCGGTGACGGACCAGAGGAAACAGTACGGATCGTTGTTTCTAATGTTTACGACTGCTTTCTTACTTTGCACCTCCTTCGGTAATTCGATGAAAGTAGATAGGCCACCGTGTATCGGAATGTATCTGTTGATGTTTACCGCCAAGTTTATAATTTCTACCAATGACCAACCAGATTCCCTTTCTTGAAAGTCTTCAACCTTGGCTAGTAACTTTTCCTTCACATTTGTGTTGAACCAGTCGCTGATATCGGTGGACGGTAGAACAACTTCGTTCTTAGTGTTGAAGAACTTTAGTTCTTCGACAATCTGACCAGCTTTCATTGTCTCGAATTTACAAGACAATACGACGTTCACCTTCAAATTTCCATCCTTTCGAAGTGCGTGCTTCACTCTCGCAGTAAACAATTTTCTGGAATCTTCCAGGAAACGGCCCAAGTCCTTGTGTCGCAAGTTTGCAATGACTCCAGTCCTTATTCGTCCTTTAAAGGCAGATTCCAAGTCATCCCAACGCACTCTGTCACTTCTACTCTCCCTCACCGTTCCTCCACCACTTTTACGAAGTTGTTGTTTAAATTTTTCGTTTAGAGATTTGAGGATTCCGATCGTTGTTAAAATTTTAGTTTTCTCTCCGATCGTAAGAGTAACGTTTCTCAGAATTTTGTTCAAAAGTTTGATATTTAGAGTTCCAAATTTCGTCCATTTTTCAATTTCTGCCGTCGATGAACCCTTCTTTAGAAGTTTATACGCTCCTTCCATAATCTCAATCAACTTTTTACACTTTGTAGAATCCATCTCGTTAATAGCAATAATACACTTGAAGGTTCGACAAACAATGATCGCTGCGCATCATCGAAGGGCCTTTTATACGAAGGTTTCAAGGATTTCCTGGAATTGTTTTACATCGGTTCGAGCGATAAGACACCTACCCGAATTGCGAAATCGAGAACGCATTTTCTAGAAACTCTCAAGGGTTAAACAATGGGGATGGGAGGTTTCGCAGATTTCTAGGAATCAAATCGCCTACAGAGATTCCTGGAATCGATGTTAAGGTTCATGCATCTTCCGAAATATTCTTTAGCCCTCCGACGACGACGACGACGAAGTTGCGTCGCGCG